AGATAAGCACTTCATATTCAGAGGCCATGGTTATTAAATCTTTTACATCACCAAATAGGATACCAAAAGTTGACAAAAAGATAAAAGGAAATTGTCAAAATCACTAGGTTAATGGGAGATTATAATCCTTCTACCTTTCTATATAAAGGACACCAAAAAATCATAAATGAAAAAATAGATTTGCACAGTTACTAATGGCCACATATACAGCATTGTACCCACAGTGGAAAATACTTTGAGTTTCTAACTACTCATGGAAGAGTTACACACACACACACACACACACACACACACACACACACCCCTACATATTTTGGAATATATAAAAGCTAGTTTCAATTATTTCAGAAGATTAATATCCTACAAGTTCTATTATACAACCTAATGCAGGAAGCATAGAGCTATTTAGGAAAGGAAAACTACAAATTCTATATCACACCTGTAAACAGCTGAATAATAAAACTAATGTCAGTTTGGGGATGCTGTACTGAAAGTGGCTAAGGGAATTTATAGGCTGAAATGTTTATAGTGCTAAGCTTGAATGCTTAGAATTAAAGACTTAAAATTAACAAGCCACGCATTCAAGTTAGAAATGTAGAACGATAGTAGAATTACCACCGATAAATGAAGATAAACTACAAAAAAGGGATTTAATGAAATAGAAAACAAGCATGCAATGGAAAAGATCATTAAAGTCTAGCAGTGGTAATTTGAAAAGAATAATAAGACAAACTTACATCAAAGTTAAAAATGGAAAAAAAAAAAAACCCACAATAGGAGGAATGAGAAAAAATACATAACTACAGATACCTTAGATGCAAACATAAGAGGAGTTTTACAACTTGGTGCAAATACTTTAAGTTTGTTTTGGAAGTGGGGCGCATGCATGGGGGAGGGGCAAAGAGAGAAGGGAGGGTAGAGAGAATCCCTAGTAGACTCCAGAGCCTGACTTGGAGCTTGATCCTGCTACCTTAAGATCATGATCTGAGCCAAAATCAAACAACTGAGCCACCCAGTGCCCTTGTGCAAAAACTTTTGAAAAATGTGGTTGAAATAACTTAAGTAATATATCAAAGTTGGGTTAAATAGAAAGCGGGAGTAGTTTTATAACTATAACCTGTGAAGAAATAGATTCAGCATCAAATATCTTCCCGTAAAGAAACACTGCACCCAAACGGCTTAATGGATAAATTTCAAGAACAGATAATTTTTTTTTTTTTTTTTACAAACTCTTCCAAATAATAAAAATGTGGCAATGTTCAACTTCTTCATTAAAACTAGAATAACAAAAACAGGAAAATACAAGAATGTAAATCTATAGGCAGGCCTCATTGATGCAAATGATACAAAATGCTAAACTACAGCATCCTAAATCTGTGGGTTTGCTTTTTTTTTTTTAAGATAGGAAATTAGGTTTATCTCTGAAAAGCAAGAAAATGGATCCATATAAACCACTGCAATTACTAACCATCTCAGTAAATATAGGCAAAAGTTTAACAGCATTCATTTCTGGATTACAGATAGGTAAGATCTTTGATTTTATGTATATAGTATATATGCATCTAGATGATATACATATGTATCTGATATATATCTATATTACCATCCATAAAACATACCTGTGTCTAGGATAGAAAATTCAGAAATGGATTGTATACAAGATTCATAGGAGGTGGGAGCCTTGGTGGCTCAGTCACTTCAGCCTCTGACTTTGGCTGGGGCCATGATCTTGCAGTTTGTGAGTTCAAGCCCCACATCAGGCTCTTTCTTGTCACCACAGAGACAACTCCCCCCACCCCCCCCACCCGCCTCTGCCCTGTTCATTCTCAAAATAAACTTCAGAAAAATCCATAGAATATATAAAATCTAGGACATAACTGGTATCCATGATATGTATCCCATATCTGATATATGTGTATAAAAGGCCTATATTCTGATTTATTTCTGGGTATATGATGAACTAGGAAAAGAAGAGAGTTTCTTTTACCCATTAAAGACCAATTGCAAGATACCTGGAGCAATGATCGCCTCTAGAGGTAAAAGGCTAAAGATACTCCCTTTAAAAAAGTCCAAGACAATTGTTAATATAGAACCCAGAATCCAGTAATATAGCTACTCTGGTGGCATGGAGTTGGGACGAGAGGAAGATGTGACCAGGGCAGGGCACAAAGAGGACTTTTCTGATGTACTGGTGTATTCTCCATCATAACCTGGATGCTGGGAATGCTGGTTTTTATTCTTTAACCTGCATCTTATTTTTAGACAGTTAATGTCTAATTTACATGGTAACTTTTTAGTACATGAGAGAGGGCTATTGAAGATAGGGGTGGAATATTTTCTTTCTTGTATGTTATTTGGCTGGTCTAATAATCAACATAGACAGATTAACAACAACCAGGTCACCTGGGTGGCTCAGGAAGTTAAGCATCTGAGTTGTGGTTTTGGCTTAGGTCTTGATCTCAGGGTCATGGGATCAAGCTCCAAGTTAGGCTCTGAGCTGGATGTGGAGTCTGTCTTCCTCTTCCTTTGTCTCTCCCCCACTCTCAAACTTTAAAAAAAAAAAAAATAAAAAACCGAAAAACAAATTAAATTTATATGTATATGAAATATGAGACTCAAAAGAAGTGACCAAAGCAGGCAGCTTTTAGATCTCTTAGATAAACAATAAATTGGTGAAAAACTGATAGTCAAAGAAGTTTGGGTTTTGGGAATAGTAAGTTAGTAAAGAAGTAATAAGGTTTGTTCATATAACTTCCTTGGTCCTAAATACCATCTCTGGTACTAAGGAGGTCTTCTGCCTTCCAGTTCTGGTGGTGGGGGAGGTTACCTTTCACGTAGATTTATTTTCTTCATTCAGGGGGACAAAGGAAGAGTCAGAGTTTCCTAGTTGCACCTCCTGTTTAAGTAACTTTAATTCAAGATAATATGCCAAAATGGCATATATTGGAGTGTCCTGTCCTGAACTCCATCAAAGAATACTTGTTAAAAATCTCTGCTTGTAAAGGGTCTGAGATACAAGGCAGTTTTGTGGAGGTTCATGGGATCATGAGTGAGCACAGTTCTTTACATATGCATTGTTGTTTGTCTTATTCTAGCAGCAGAAGTGGCAGTGCCTTTCCCTTCATGTATCATCCTTGCACAGGGGCCATGCTGGTCTTCTCTATATGTGCTGCCCAACAGAGCACAGCTTTCCCTTCATGTAAAGTGGCAGAGAGATGGGAGTAAAAGATGAAATTCAAAGTCTCCCACTGATGGTTAATGCAGTCATCAGTATTTTTCTCTTTGGAGAATTGCATATTGCAGTAGATGGAGGATTACATACCCATATAGAAAACAGTATAAGTACTTTCAAAGGATTTTGACATGAGAGGGAAGAAAATAACAAAAGAATTTTTACGAAAAGAATTAGTTTAAAAGATGAGAAAATCCTATGTAAAACTGTTAGGCTGTGTCTACATGGTTACTATAGATCTTTGATTTCAACTGTAAGAAAATGTCTCAGAAGGTTAGTTTTCTAAATTTAACCACATGACACCAAGAAAAGAGTATTATGTCATGGGAATTTTCTCCACAGTTGTCATCTGGATAGCCTTGACTATTCAAGTCTTAAGATCCTATACACTAAATAGAGAATTTTTCTCTCCTCCCTTATATTGGTTCTGAATCTATTTTTATTGTTAGTCTTATTTTAGTTAGCTCTACTTTATCTCAGACCATCTTAATTCTATGAAATGGCAAAAAGGTTCTTTGCTAACCTCTTTCTAGAAGTCTAAAATAAAAATTAAGCTGCTTTTCCACTCTAACTGAATCTCTCTTTTCCCTCTGGCATATGACTTTAATTTCAGGAAAACAAATTATAGCTAGCTACTAGTATTTTCGGTCATGGAGATGGCCTCTGCTTTACTGTACACATACCACGGTATTATGGCCATGGTGGTAGGGGAGGAAAACTTCACAGTTACTCAATTTTTATTAGACTTTCCTCCATTTTTTTAATTTCCCAAGCTTTCTGAATTTGACTTATAAAATAAAAGTTTAGATAATGCCTTGAAAATGGTAAATGTGTTTTTTTAACACAAGATGAGAAAATCCATGTTTTTAACATGGTGATTTATTTGTAGCAGGAGGCCTTATTGTGTTAAATCTCACTTTGGTGTGTTTTTTCTCAATGGCATTTTCTTCATGCTGTGCTGCGTCTCATGCCTGTGATCTCAGAGTTATGAGAAAGAGTGATAAGATTTTTTAATATCAGGTGTATGCCAGTTGAGTTTGTAAGTACACTAGGATGAATTGGTGTGTGGTAAAGCTGAGATGCTATTAATTAAAAGATAAGCCAAGAAAAATGTTATTTTGTTACGATGATTTGAAAAGCCAGATGTCGACAGACTTACTTCATTCCTAGGAGGGCGTACTGGGAAATTAACTACAAAATACTCATATTTTTATAATGCTTATTTATTTCTTTTTGACAGGTAAATAATACAAAAAGTAATAGGCCTTAGATAATTACCTCCACTTTTTGAAATACAAAATATCTAGTAAAGATTTTCTAAGAAGTTATGGGATAAAGTCTTTAGCATGCAAAAAAAATAGTTTTCTGTGAAACTACCTCTTCATAAACAAAGTTTTAGCAATTTCCTCTAGGCATCTGTAAAAATGGGGTTATAATTTGTATTTGAATTAATAAAATAATGGATTTTAGTAGCTACATATATAATACTTTACCTTAACCTAAATTCTTATTGCATACTGTGTTGCATACACTGATGTGCTAATTTTTGGAACAGCTTTGGAATTATTATAAGCTGATAAGCTCTAAAACTTACTGTTATTTTTCTCCTTGACTCTGCCATCTGTCAGAAAGAAAAGCAAAGATGAAAATCTCATTGAGCCACAAAAGATTCTGGATTGTTTAATGGGCCTTCTAAGGAGATACCTCTGTCTAGGGGAAAAAAAAATAATGCTGCATTTTTAAAGAAAATATTTGTTCCTTATTGCAGATGGGGTACTCAAGGTGATTTCACCACCACCCATCCTCGGCCTGTGGTCAAAGTAAAACTCTTCACGGAAAGCACCGGGGTCCTGGCCCTTGAAGATAAAGAACTGGGAAGGGTGAGTTGTGGTCAGCCCTGTGTGTTTGAAGTCCCACAATTTTTATTTCTCGTGCTTCACAGTTAGGGTGGACCAATATGTAGTGTGTGGACTTTCTGTTCATAGTCTACATAAGACAATTTATTTGTAATTTTCCATTGTCCCAGATTATAACACTAATCTATTAAAGGTAATTGTCAATAACATAGAAAATACTGTGATAGGCTTTGCGTGTATAAAGGTTGTATATAAGATCAGAGTCAGGGACCCATTTTTCTTATACATGCACTGATCACTGGGTATTTATGGCACAGAGAAACTTGTTCTTTTGGGTGAAAGATAATCGCCGTTTAAACATTTCTGCCCATGGGTTAAAAGCAGCATCTTGATATTTAAAATCCATCTGTTTAGGTCCATTATGATTAGACTAATTACAGGATATCTAAGGGTGTTTCTTAACCTCTCCTGTTTTCCCTTGTGAGAAGGCCTTTTTCACATATCTTTTAACTCCGGATTTTTTTTTACCCTATACTTACTTCATACCTAGAATATATCTATCTCCTAATTCCGGGGATCTTTCCACTATTCTCAGCTCTTTCTGGCAGTGCATTAAGTTAGGGTAGATATGCGATCTTAACACCTCTCTGTGTGAAAGATTATCTGCAGTCTCATTTATAAAGTAGATGTGCTCCAATGAGCAGGCTATAAAGTTATCTTGTCTAATGTGGATTTCTCTTACCCTGACCTGAAGACTGAATTCATAGGTATTTTCCAGAGATGAAAGCCTTCAGAAATCTTACCTGAAATTTTCTGGTAATGACAGACAGCTTGTGTGATGGTTGATGTTGAAGGATACTAGGATTATTGGGTATACTGAAAAAAATTTTCCCCCAAGTTAGGCTTTTGATTCATTTCATATCTTTAGCCTCTTGTGTCTCCTTTACCTGGTTAGAGTTTTCCATTTCTAGGGATTTTGTGAATCTGTACCCACACTCCAGAAATTGAGAATCTACATTCATATTCCAGGTTTCCAATTCTGTTTCCTTGTTATGTGTTATTAAGACTGAAGAGCTCATGTGCTTTCATATTTGTGCACTTATTCAGCAACAGTGTACAGGTGGCATAATCCTATGGAAGAGCTCTGGAGCTCCATGATCTGATGGATTTATGGATCAGGGTTTTCCTTTAGACTGTTATTAATTTTACCATATTTCCTTATTGTGACCATTTTCACATTCAGATAGCAGCCATTTTAAGTCCAATGCTGCAGTGTAATTCTTTAGATTTTTCAATTCATTTCTCAGCTGGCCATATACATATTTAAGCAGGTTTTAAATTGGGTGTGTAAGTGATATGCTTCCCAGTCCGCTGTATATCAGAGAAATGCCTTATGCTCCTTTGCTCCCTTCATACAAGATAGTTTTTCTTTCCACACGAGTTTCTCACCCTCAGCGCTATTGATATTTTGAGCAAGAAAAATGCTTTGTTTTTAAGAGCTTTTCCGTACACTTTATATTTAGCAGCATCCCTGCCCTCTGGTCAGATGCCAGTCGTTCACCCAGCCTTAAGTCGAGATGGTCAAAAATGTCTCTAGACTTTGCTAAATGTCCCCTGGAAGGTGTGCCAAATCACCCCTTTTTAGAGATCCTTTGAACTCCTCTAATGATCGGAGGAGGTTCCATGATTATAAATATCATTTATGTGTTAATAACTTCCAATTAAAATTTTTCTTGGAGCTTCAGATTTGTATATCCGACCTGCATACTGAGTATTTCTAAGATGCATTTAACAGTGAGCTCAAATATTTCTAAAATAGAGCTTATGATTAGCACCCCCATAAAGTTTTCCATTGAGGTAGTTTCTAAGTCCGTGAAACTGACATGTACTTTGTTTCTCCTTCCTTCGCCTTAATACTCTGTCTATTTGCAAGTTCGGTCAGCTTTCCCTAAGTGTATTCTGAATACGTCCACATCTTAATTTCCCCTCTACCCTAATTCAGGACACCATCCTTCCTTGCGGCTAATAGTCTCCGTACTACTTTCCCATTTGTCATGTCGTCCCCTCTGATTTAGCTTTCACACCTCAGCCGCTATGATCTATTTAAAATTTGAAACAAATCACATCATTCTTCCCTAAAAAATCTTCCAGTGTCTTCTCATTTCTTTGGAATAAAAATCAAACTCCTAGGGGTGCCTGGGTGGCTCAGTGAAGTGTCCAGCTTCGGCTCAGGTCGTGATCTCATGGTTTGTGAGTTCAAGCCCCACGTCAAGCTCTGTGCTGACAGCTCAGAGCCTGGAGCCTGCTTCGGATTCTGTGTGTGTGTCTCTCTCTCTCTCTCTCCCCTGCTCATGTGCGCGCTCTCTCTCTGTCTCTCTCAAAAATAAACAAACATTACAAAAATCTATTGAAAATCAGACTCCATATCATAGTATAGCATGCCCAGGAATGGTTTTTTTTTTTTCATTTTCTTTTTTTTTTTTTTTTTTTACAAATAGTTTATTGTCAAATTAGTTTCTACATAACACTCAGTGCTCATCCCCAAAGTGCCCTCCTCCATGCCCATCCCCCCCTCCCCCCCACATCCATCAGTCCTCAGTTTTTGTCAGCATTCAAGAGTCTCTCATGGTTTGCCCCAAGAATGGTTCTTAAGGTGGGACCCCGGATCTGCAACAACAGCACCTGGAAGATTGTTAGAAATGCAGATTCTCAGGCCTCACACTAGATCTGCTGGACCAGAAACTGTGACTGTGGTGTGCTACAGTGTTCTAGCAGGGCCTCCTCTTAATTTTGGGCCACGCCCACATTGAAGAACCCTACTCTACACGAACTGACCTCTGAGTCTCCTGTTAGAGCCATCTTGCTTACTGTCCTGTTTCCTTCATACTTGGCTTTCTTCCTTTCCTCAAACATACCCGATTCACTTCTGCTTTAAACCTTGGGTCTTTAGCTGTGCTGTAGGGTAAGCCCATACTTGTACACACACACACACAATGAGAAGAACCTGGTGGTCGGGGCACCTGGGTGGCTCAGTTGTTTGAGTGTCAGACTCTTGATTTCAGCTCAGGTCATGATCCCAGTGTGGATGGATCAAGCCCCGTGGTGGGCTCTGTGCTGAGTGTGTAGCCTGCATAAGATATTCTCTCTCTCTCTCCCTCCCTCCCTCTCTACCTCTCTCTCCCTCCCCCATGCCCCTCCCCCTCATACTCTCTGTCACTCTCCAAAATAAAAAAAAAAAAATTAAAAAAAATAAAAAACAAAGAAACTGATGATCAGCTCTGAGTGGTAGAGCTACTAGTAATGTTTGCTATGTATTTATCTACTTTTATACTAGGAAGCAGGAACAGGTTTTTTGTTTTTTGTTTAATTTGAAGGAAAAAGCCTTACATTATCTGAAATTGACAGTGTAAATTTTTACAAATAGATATCTGGAGATCTTTTTTTTTTTTCTTTAATGTTTATTTTTGAGAGAGGGAGACACAGCATGAGCGGGGGTGGAACAGAGAGAGGGGGAGACACAGAATCCAAAACAGGCTCCAGACTCTGAGCTGTCAGCACAGAGCCTAACGCAGGCTTCAACAACAAACAGTGAGATCATGACCTGAGCTGAAGTCGGATGTTTAACCAGCGGAGCCGCCCAGGCGTCCCTGGAGATCTTAGTTTTAAAGTGAAGTTTTCTAATTAAGATTTTGTGTAGCAGTTGAATTAAAAGATGGGCAACCCAGTCCCCAAAATAGATTTATACCACAAGGCGATCCCACCACCGTACAGCTGGTAAGATGGCTGAGGTACGAGAAAGCTGACAGTAACAAGTGCTGACAGGGATGCAAAACAACAGAAACATGATCTCTGCTGGGTAGAAATACAAACTTGCACAGCTGCTTTGGGAATACAATTCGACAGTGTTTGTTTTTGTTTTTTAAGTAATATCTAGACATACCATCTTACCCTAAGGTTGCCCTCTTAGGTATTTACCTAAGGTTTATTAGTAAATAAATATCTGTATGTGAATATTGATAACAGCTTTATTCCTAATCACTAAAAACTGGAAGCTGGGGCGCCTAGGTGGCTCAGTCGATGAAGCGTCCGACTTCGGCTCAGGTCATGATCTCACGGTTCATGGGTTCGAGCCCTGTGTCAGGCTCTGTGCTGACAGCTAGCTCAGAGCCTGGAGCCTGTTTGAGATTCTGTATCTTCCTCTCTCCCTGACCCTCCCCTGCTCACTCTGTCTCTGTCTCTCTGTCTTTCTCTCTCTCTCTCTCTCTCTCTCTCTCAGGAATAAACATAAAATTTTTTAAGTAAAAACTGGAAGCAGTAAGATGTCCTTCAACAAAGGAACAGATAAATAAACTGTGGTATATCCATAAAATGAAATTCTTTTCAGTGATAAAAAGAAACCATTAATTCATACAACACAGATGAAACTTGAATGCAAGAGAAAGAAATCAGACCCTTTGCCCCATTTAATCCTCTTGGAGGATGGCAGTCACATCCCATGTTGAGATGGAAAGTGAGAATCTGATGAAGACCACTCAGCAAGTGCAAGAGTCAGTATTTGACCTTGGGTTTTTGATCCCAAAGCCTTTATTCTAAATTTTAAATAGTACACCTGACAAGATGAGGAAATTTGGTGGTATTTTACAAATCTTAGTATGAGTATAGGCCCATTTAATTTCATGGTTTAAATCACGAACAGGATATTATTTAAGCTAATGCCATTTTATGCATAGTTGCTCAATACATTTTATATCATTTTATGCGATGATTTTCATCTTATTATAGTAACCTTTGGATGCACTTTTTTCTTCTTTGTTTATTTTGAGAGAGAGGGAGAGAGAGAATCCCAAGCAGGCCGCATGCTGTCAGCACAGAGCCCCGTGTGAGGCTCAGTGTCACAAATCGTGAGATCATGACCTCAGTCGAAATCCAGAGTCGGAAGCTTATCTCAGCCACCCAGGCGCCCCTTTCTGACTGCACCCTTCCATGCTGCAGTGCCTCTCACCTCTCTGTGCACATAAGAACCC